TCTCTACCTCTGTTCAACCGGTGGCTGGGCATTAAGTCATTTTCTCTCACTAACCAGTTCAACCGGTGGCTGGGCATTAAGTCATTTTTCTACCTCTGTTCAACCAGTGAATGGGCATTAAGTCATTTTTCTCTACCTCTGTTCAACCTCTATTCAATCCAGTGGCTGGGCATTAAGTCATTTTTCTCTACCTCTGTTCAACCGGTGGCTGGGCATTAAGTCATTTTTCTCTACCTCTGTTCAACCAGTGGCTGGGCATTAAGTCATTTTCTCTACCTCTGTTCAACCAGTGAATGGGCATTATGTCATTTTTCACTACCTCTGTTCAACCAGTGGCTGGGCATTAAGTCATTTTTTCTACCTCTGTTCAACCGGTGAATGGGACATTATGTCATTTTTCTCTACCTCTGTTCAACCAGTGAATGGGCATTAAGTCATTTTCTCTACCTCTGTTTAACCACCGGGCATGAAACCAGTGAATGGGCATTACGTCATTTTTTCTCACCTCTGTTCAACCGATGGCTGGGCATTACATTTTTCTCTACCTCTGTCATTTTTTTCTCTACCTCTGTTCCAGTGAATGGGCATTAAGTCATTTTTCTCTCTACCTCTGGCAACCAGTGGGGCATTTTTTTCTATGTTTAACCAGTGAATTTTAAGTCATTTTTCTACCTCTGTTCAACCGTTGGACATTAAATTTTTCTCTACCTCTGTTCAACCGGTGGCTGGACATTAAATTTTTTACTCTACCTCTGTTCAACCACTGGCTGGACATTTTTCAACCGGTGGCTGGACATTATGTCATTTTTCTACCTTGTTCAACCGGTGGCTGGGCATTAAGTCATTTTTTCTCTACTCACCTGTAAAGCATTTGGTTAGGGCTCAAATATTTAAGCAAGTTTGGCCACTCCCCCTGCATTTATCAAAGGCCTAACATTCAAAGAATTGTGAGAACAAGAAACACTGGTTTCATACAAACATTCTTTAATATGCAATGTCTTAAAAATAAATGTTCATTTCAGGTTTCGTTTGGTTTGTTTCTGGTTTGTTTTACGGTATAACAACCTCAATGTGTTATTTAATGCCGACAAGATTTTTTTTCATATGTATTTTTTGCTAATTTTTTTTCTTCAAAATTTATTTCTGGTAATTTTTTTTTTTTTCAAAAAAATGTTGCTGGTAATAATTTTTATCTTCAAAAATATATTGCTGTTAATAACTTTTTTGCAAATATTTCTGGTATTAAAACCTATTTTTTACACTTTCATAGTGTTTTGACCCCGGTTAACTATTTGCCCATAGCTGGGACCTTAACAGGTGCTACCACCCCGGGTCAGGGGTGGACCTGTAAACACCAGCAATTAAGAGTTGGTCCCACGCTCCTCAAAATCTCCTGATGAGAGACCTTGCTGTTGGACGTAGTTTATCGTCTTACCCAGGACGCGGATGTAGTTTATCGTCATATCCAGGACGGCTTATTTGAGGAGACTTTTTATTTATTGTTCGTATTTTCAAATTTTGTGGACTAATTTTTCCTTAAAGTATTTTAGAGTTTTAAATATTCTATTTCTTCGACCTGAAAAAAATAATAAAAAAAAAAAAAAAAAAAAAGCCGAGAAAAAGTAATTTCAACCCAAGCGACGAGCGTTGTTTATATAAAGAATTCTTTTTACAAGTCATCCTCTGTTTCAGTTACTTCTACACTTTTATTGTAAGCATGATTCAGGTCGCTACTTCTACGAGAGACTATAACCATTTTACAATATGCCACTGACTGTATCACTTATCAAGTCAATGCATAACTCTGCCGATGCTGGCCTGATAAATTGTCGCCACTCTATATTTCTAATTTCGCGCCTGCGCATTTTTGACAGTTGTGCCGACTACCACAGTATAGTTGGGCCAGTTGGACGCCGTACCAGAGAAAAAGAGCACCATGACGACAACTCACTGCGACAGGAATTTAGAAACGGCATGCTGTACTGCTTGGCATTTTAGTAAATGCATCTGTCAAATTTAGATTTGAGTGTCATTTCCGTTTTTGCGTAATTTGACGACAATTTATCCACCGCACTCTGTATATATATATATATATATATATATATATATATATATGTGTGTGTGTGTGTGTGTGTGGTGGACTCTCCTGTCGTGTTTAACATATGAAGTCAAATAGCTTTAACTACTAGCAACCTCAGACAAACCCCAGCACATATGATTTGATTATAGTGGTGAAGGCTTTGTGCAGAAGCAACCACATCTTTTGAATTGGTTGAATATAGAGACCTGGTGCAAACGTGCCACAAGGTCCCTAAAACGACCCTCCGCAGGTTTTTGAATTGAGAATCGTCTTTCTCCTGGACCAATTGCCATCAAAGGCTATAGAACCCGGTCTGTCCTGATATTTACCCACAGCTGGAGGGAGAAGAAGAGGAGTAATACCTTCCCCAAGGTATTAGCACGAAATATTTTTTTCTGGACATAAAGTCTGTAAAAATATGTGCAAATGTTTGAACGCTTTCGGCTATTCTATTAGCCATTAGCAAGATTAAATATTAATAACTTGATACAAAATATACAGGGTGCGATGATAAATGGTCGCCATTTTTTATTTTTAATTCCGCAATTGCGCGTTCTTTTTTTTTGATTTTGTCGCCTTCGCAGTATAGTAGGGTCAGTTGGGCACCGCCTGTAAGAAAAAAAGAGCACCATGACAAATTCACTGGACAGAAATTTGGAAACGACATGCTCTACTAATTATATCCAAAATTTCAACCCCAATACGAACATTTCAGTTTTGGGTGTCAACTGAGGACAAATCCAAAGGATTCGAAAAGAGTTGGATGAGTCTAATGGTGATTACGAAGGTGTTTGAAGTGATCACTAGTGATGGCGACGTTATGCCTCCATTCATCTTCCCACAGGGCCTCAGATTCAACACGGAGGCCTACATCCAGTGCCTTTTGGAGGTAGTGCTGCCCTGTGACTAGAGAGTGGCTGATGGAAGACCCTATGTCTGGAAACAGGACTCTGCACCATGCAACACTAGCAGGAGAACCAGTCATGGCTGTCAGACAATTTCTGCGACCATCACCCTCTTATATATGGTCATCTAACTCACCAGACTGCAACCCCTTGATTATTATGTGTTGAAACCTTTTAGACCAAACAAAACTCATTGTAACACCAAAGATGAACTGAAGGCAAGGATTATGACAGCATTCATCAACTTCAACAAGGAGACCGTCCAGAAGAGTTGCAGGAGATTCCAAAGTCGTCTGGAGGCCGTGGTTGAAGCCAATGACGATTTTATTGAATATATTTACTCTTTAGTATTTCAAGATATTTTTGTGTAATTTTGGTAAATATATTTGTTAAAATGAGATGTCAGTGTTATTTTCAATTTTTTTTGTCATTTAGACGACAATTTATCCATTATCCTGTATATCTGTTAAAATGATGAGTGTATGACATTTTCAATTTTGCGTCATTTTAGACGGCAATTTATCCATCGTAACCTGTATATTATGTTAAAATGAGATGTCAGCGTTATTATAAATTTTTTTCATTTAGACATCAATTTATCCATCGCAACCGGTATTTCTGTTAAAAATGAGTGGTCAGCGTCATTTTCAATTTTGCGTCATTTAGACAGCAATTTATCCATTTTTCCTGTATTTAACTAGATAGACGCGGCCCGAACCGCTTTTTTTGTCTCTGAGTCTTCCACCCGAGGTAAGGGCAACTGGGTTTTTTGTACGGGTTCTGGGATTTTAAAATCGCGTGCCATCGTCTGCCGGTAAAAAAGAGTTTTCATGAAGCAAAGAAAACAGTAGTTTGTAATTCCTGTTTCTATTATTAACATTTTCATTTTCCTTTTTATTTTATTATGGTTATATTTTTAAAAGACCAAAAAAAATCATTGCAATACAACCAACAAATGAAATATAATGAAAAGTAAAACAGTATACTGAAATCCGTAGGAAACGCCAAATCATCATACATTTTTTAGCGAAGGGTAAAGGTATCTAGACTTTATTGGATGAAATATGATATTCCAAATTTTTTTATTGAAATTCAGTTAAATTGTGTGTTTCTGTTTTAAGATAATCGAATATGCATCACCCACTATCTATTTATCTATCTATCTATCTATCTATATCTATCTATCATCTATCTATCTATCTCAGTTCATAATTATCTATCTATCTTAGTATCTATTTCAGTCTGTTTATATCTGTGTAACTATGTATTGAAATCTGTTCATCTCACTTATTTTAAATCTCCATCTCTCTATATATATATATATATATATATATATATATATATATATATATATATATATTTAATATATATATATATATATATATATATATATATATATATGTCAATCTGTTATGTATATCTAACATTTATCTTTATCCGGTCTGTTGTATATTCATCTATCTATTCATCTATCTATCTGTTTATCTATCTGTCTGTCTGTTTATCTATCTCAGTCATTTTATATGTATGTATGTATCTATCTAGTTAACACAATCTTCTATATGCAACAAAATCTATCTATTTTCTTCATCAATTCTTCTCATCCAAATATCAGGCAAATCATTCAGGTGAAAAGAAACATCTGCTTTCATACACACACACACACACATACAATTTTTTTGCAAATCCTAATAAATTTATTTCAATGTCTGCTTAAATGCATTTTGATATATAGAAATGACATACTGATATAAAAAAGAAGCTGTGTTAGGTAGATATTAAAAGGATTTAAAATAATATACATATATAGATAGATAGATAGATAGATAGATAGATAGATAGAAAGATAGATATTTTCAAATAAATCAGATATGTTTTTTTTACTGATAAAAAAGGCTGTTTTTGTTCAAATGGAGGATAGATGAAAGGCATATAGATATAGATAGATAGATAGACAGATTATAATATGTGACTTTAGACAGATCTAAATAAATAGTATATAAAAGATATATATATATAAGAATAAATGTGTGTTATATAGATATTAAAAATATGTATAGAAATATAGATAGATAGATAGATAGATAGATAGATAGATAGATAGATAGAATAAATGATATCAAGATATAGAAGATATAGATATAAATATATAAAAAGGGTAGTTTAGAAAGATATTAAAAGGCATATAACTGTGATAGATAGATATATAGATAGATAGATAGATAGATAGATAGATAGATAGATAAAAATAAATCAGACCTAGAAAGACAACTGATATAAAAAGGGCTGTGTTAGGTAGATATAGATAGATATATAGAAAGATAGATAGATAGATAGATAGATAGATAGATAGAAATGAAATCAGACTAGATCTAGATATAAAAAAATGATAGATAGATAGATATTGATATATAGATAGATAGATAGATAGATAGATATAGATAGATAGAAGATAGACAGATACTCAAATAAAGATATATATATATATATATATATAAATATATATTATAGATATATATAGACTATTAGATAGATATCATAGATAGATAGATAGAAAGATAGATATTGACTAAAATATCTAATAGATATATAAAAACGTATACTGATATAAAAAGGGCTGTAGATAGATAGATAAAGGACTAAAGATCATATATAGATATATAGATATAAAGAAAACTAGATAGATAGATAGACAGATACTAAATGAAATCAGATATATAGAAAGACAGAATATATAGATAGATAGATAGATAGATAGATAGATAAGATGTGTTAGCTAGGATATAGATAGATAGATAGATAGGATAGATAAAGATAGATAGACAGATACTAGAAATAATATATAGAAAGATATATAGATAAATGTTTTTGATAGATAGATAGATAGGACTGTATAGATAGATATATATATATAGATAGAAAGATAGATAGATAATAGATAGAAGATAGATAAATATAGATATAGACATATAGATATAAAAAAAGGCTGTATAGGTAGATATATAAAGGATAGTAGATAGATAGGCATATAGATAGATAGATAGATAGATAGATAGACAGATAGATAATAAATGAAATAGATATATAGAAAGACATACTGATATAAAAAGGGCTGTGTTAGGTAGATATTAAAAGGACTGTGTTAGCTAGGCATATAGATAGATAGATAGATAGACAGATAGATAGATAGAAAGATAGACAGATACTCAAATGAAATCAGATATATAGAAAGACATACTGATATAAAAAACTGTGTTAGGTAGATATTAAAAAGGACTGTGTTAGGGCATATAGATAGATTAAAACAGATAGATAGATAGAAAGATGTGAAATCAGATATAGAAAGAAATATAGATATAAAAGATAGATAGATAGACAGATAGATAGATAGATAGATAGACAGATAGATAGATAGAAAGATAGAATCTACAAATATATAGAAAGACATACTGATATAAAAAGGGCTGTGTTAGGTAGATATTAAAAGGACTGTGTTAGCTAGGCATATGGATAGATAGATAGATAGATAGAAAGATAGACAGATCCTCCATATCTAATTCTTTGACGAAACTTTAATAAAAGTGAAACATGTTAAATTGATAAACATTTCCTATTTGTTCTTTATCTTATCATATATATATATATATATATATATATATATATATATATATATATGTTATAATTTTTATTGTCTCTAGGTCTGTTTATTTTTAAATAAAATTTTTTTTTATACATGAAATTAAAAAAAAAAAATTAAAAAAAATACCATAAATCCCCTTCATGTTTAATATAAAATGATAACTTCAATTTTAAATAAAAATTAACATCTTTTTTCATATAGTTTTAGGTTTGTCTATTTTAATATAATGTTTTTTTTAATAAATACCATTAATCCCTTTATATATATATATATATATATATATATATATATATAAAAAGAAATATAGTCTTAAGATGTGCTATATTTATGGGATAAAGTGCTCAATATCAGAGATAGAGCGTGTGTAAATATAAAAGTGAACATAGAAGTCAACACTTAGCGGCATCTAGCATGAAACAGACTGTTGCCTCTAAGTGTTGACTTCTATGTTCACTTTTATATATATATATATATATATATATATATAAAAGAGAGAGAGAGAGGGAGGGAGGGAGAGAGAGAGAGAGAGAGAGAGAGATAGGTAAATTAAATAAATAAAAATTATTATTTATATGTGGACTATTGTTCTCATCTTTGTTGCTGTCGTTATTCTAATGTTTCAGCTGTTGTATCCTCCAGCCCTCATCAGGGGTATGCTGAGCCAGGTAATCTGCAGGAAATTTTTAACTGAACACTTTATTTAATCTATTGGGATAGATTGATCTTGTTCTATTGCCCATGTTTAACTGAACAGTACTAAAAGAAGAACTAGATGAGATATCCCTGAACATGGGTAGTGAAATGAGTACAGTCTACCTCCATAGATTAAATAAAGGGTTCAGTTTGAAATTTTCTGTAGGTTACCTTCATCAACATACACCTGATGAAGACCAGAGGGCACAATGCATGAAACGTTGTGGTAATAGCAATAATAGTTTGCATGCAAATCATGATAACTCCTCATCGAAGAAATTCAGAAAGAAATAAAAATTGAGTAAAATATATTGTCCTCAGGTTTTACTGTAAGAAATGGATCCAGGCTTGTAAATATTGGTCGCGCTTTCTGCAACAGTGACTTCTGCGTTGGTCATGGACATTTTAGCGAGTATCTGTTTAATCAGAGCAATTTCTGCCTGATGGCTCAGAAGTCGTTTGATGTCCTCTGACATTTGGTTCTGTGTCTGAATCAACTGCAGCCGTTCCTCCTGCAGGTTGCTGATCTGTTGTTCCGCTTCCTGCAGACCTTTCTGGCGCTTCTTCAGCAACCATCCTCTCTGTATTGACTCGATCAGGTAGCTTTGCGGCTGCTGAGCCCGACTCGAGCAGCTCTTTGCATCGACTTCACCTCCTCTGCCTTTTCCTTGACAGTCTTACGTTCAGAGTCCAGCTCCTGCTTAAGAGTTGCATTGGTCCAGCTTGTTCAGGAGAACTCTTTTGCTAAATCAACACTCTGCTTTAAACGGCGTTTGGTATTTGTCCCCATGTTGGTGCCATATGCAAGAAGCACTTTTTCAGCATTTGTTTCGTCCTCAATTTCGGCAGCTTGTAACACGAGATCGTCCAATTCTTGTTCAATTTTGTCATAGGAATCCAAACGTATATTCTTTGAAGACAGTTCGATTCTAATTCAGCAATTTTCTTGCTCTTGGCGGCTTCCATAGCATAATATTCCTTAAGCAGTACTTCATATTTTGCTTCGAGCTTTTCAATTTCCAATTGGTATTCTTTGAGATTTCTGCAATTTTCTTCATATGCGAGATGAGTTCTTTCAGCCTCAAATGCCTTTAATTTAGCCTCGGTTTGTAAATCTAGAAGCCTTTGTTCGCCCGACATCTGTAATGTTCGGTACTGTTGAGGAGTTGTTCATATTTGGCCTGAAGTTCTTGCCCGCTGCTTTCAAACTTTTCCTTCTCCAAGATAGCCATCTCCTTGCTTCTCGCAAATTAGAGTTCTCCCGCTCGTACAGCTCTTTGGTAGATGTCTTTTTCGTTCGATCTCAGAGTTTGTCTGAGCAATAATCGTTTCCAGCTCATCTTTCAGTTTGTTTTCGTACTCACACAAGACAAATCACGTTACGACACATATTTTTCATACATTTCCTCTCGGGAATTTTTGGCATTCTCCAACTGTAAATTGGATTCCTCAATTTTTATCGGCCAACAAACTATTACGATTCGTCAGTTAACTCACCTAGGAATGCAGAAAATAATTAGTCAATTAACGTTAAAAAAAATACAGAACTGATGCTTTGTTTTAAATTTGTTTAGTCTTATTTTGTGTCATGGCTGTTAATAATGGTGAACTAAACAAATTGGGGAAAATCTTTGCATTCTAATAAAATAATTGCATATTACATGTTTTTTTTCTTGTTTCAATTGGTTTCAAGGCCTTAATAAATATCTTGACAAAAATATAAAAAAGAAATAAAAAACAAAGCTATCGAGAGTTCAATTTTGGTGTTGGGTAGTGAAAAAAAAAAAAGAAAGCAATTTTACTTTACCAATATGTTTTGTCCTCTGGGGGCGGGTGTTAATAAGCTAAATGTAAGGATTTTATTTTGCAACATGTATTTATAGACAGAAGTGGTGGGAAAAAATAATGGTATGTTTAATTTAAATTTAACCTTTAGCACTCTACATCTATAAAATAAATGTGAATGTCAGTGTGTCACTGTGTCATACTTTTTCACCTTTACTGCAAGAGGCCGTAGCCCAACATATCATACTGCTTTGGAATCAGACTGACTAAGTGAGCAAATTAAAAACATTCTTAGTCGGATACTGATCCATAATCCTGAAATTTTGGGATTTTCAAGTTTTCATTACTATGATTGTTTTTGGATTCCATCATCTTGGCTTATACTGATAAAAACAAAGGGACACAACTCTCTGACTTTCTATAGCTCATGTTCAAATGAAAAAAAATTACTGTTCTCAAATTACAGTGTTTCAAGATAAATTGTCCATGTTTTCAACTTTACTCCTAGAGGCCGTAGCCCAACATATCATACCCTTTTGGAATCAGGACGACTCTGTGAGTAAATTAAAAACATTTTGGATAAGATCTGGACCCGCAATCATGAAAGTCTGGATTTCCAACTTTTCATTACTGTGATTGTTTTTGGAGATTTTTTATGTGATATTTTGTGACAAATTTTTTGTATGATAGCAATTTTTATAACTTGGAAATAAATTTGAGAATAATCAAAATTAATTGCAAAATCCAGTGAAAGTCACCCATGAGATAAAAATAATTGTTTGTCTGGAAAGTAAGGACCTGAGTATATCAAATTGTCTTTAAAATAAGTGGTGGCAGAGGAATTATTGTTGAACTTTTAAAAGGTAAGCTTAAATATTAATGCAAAACTTAAATGCAGTGATCAATTTTGAGGTCTTCTGTAGTTTATTGTTGTCTATCACAAATGGCAAAGTTTGAGAGAAAAAATTTCTGCCAACAGAGGACTTTGGGCCGAAAGTCCGATTTGGGCCAAAAATTCCAATTTGGGCCGAAATTCTAATTTGGACCGAAAGTCCGATTTGGGCTGAAACTTCGATTTGGGTCAAAATTGAGTTCTTCAAGTCACAAACTCTACGGAACTTCAATATCTCATTTCATGAAAACCTTTCACTTTAAGTTTATTCCTTGACATTAAAAATCACTATTTTTTTCAGTTATTTTAAAATTTGTATATTTTTTAACTGTTCTTCATCACCCGGACGCAGATCCCAATGCTGGATGTTCAAACACAAGATAAAGGGTGATTTTCAATTTCGGGATCATCCGGATTCCAAAATGTATAAATGTCTATGTAGAGCAATGATTCCTAACGTTCAAAATATATTACAGAATAAATATTTTATATTTCTGCCTTTCAGCTCTCTATTATACATTATATATGCCCGGCGTTGCCCGTGCTTGATTCAAAAATTGTAC